ACGCATGGAGGACAATGCACACGATGTGACCTTCAAGGTGCCACCGGGTGGCATTGAATTCACGTTGCCATCTCCAAAAATTGGCATCGAAAGTCTGCCGGTGGTGGATCCACCCTGGATGCCCGTGCAGCAGACCAAAGACATGGACGTGACGCTCAACCAAGACAGACATGTGAGTGAGAAGGCTGCAGTAACACTGGGCTATGTAGGATGCGGGAGGGGCATCCCTGATGGCTACTAAATAATTCATTGCTTTGCAGCGTTCCCTGGTCACCGCAACGAAGAGCCGCAAAATGCAGCAGACGGAGGCCATACGGAATGCTCTGCGCCAGCAGCGGGACAAGCAGCGAGCGGAGCGGCACAGTTTCCTCATCACCATGATACCGATCAGTCAGCAGGCCTCACACGAGCCTGGCATGGAGAAACTGGAGGATCACGAGGATCAGGAGGAACTCGATGGCACCCGCATGTCGTCGCACCTCCATCACTCCCATTCGCTCTTTCCCTCCGTGCTGTGCTCGTCCGTGATGCAGATTGTGGGCTGCCTGGACGATGCTGCCATTGGATCGGATGGCAATGCCGTGTACGAGATTGCCTACCAAGTGATTTGGGTGTGCCTGGTTGAGGAATCGGCTCTCTTCCTGCGCTATGTATTTGAGCGCCTGACCCGCGATCGACAGGATCAAATGTTCAAGCTGCTGCGACACCTCATCCGCTTTGTGCCACGTCTGCCCCAGCAGGCGGCCTTTGCGCTCTACAACTCCATCATTGGATACATCATGTTCTATGTGCGTTCGTCCAATGAACTCAAGCAGGAGCTCGTGGGATCAGCCTTGTCTGTGCTCTGGATGGTGGTGCACTCGGTGCACGGCATTATGTTCAAGGACTTGAAGCAAATTCTGCGCAAGGAGCAGTGCGATGCCTCCATATTGCTCACAGCAAATGTGCCCGCTGCCAAGAAGATTGTAGTACACGGCCCGGCAGACGATGACTACAATATACCCTCACAATTCCCCGTGCAGGAAGACACGCTGTTCTGCCAGTTGTTGAAGGAGGCCCTCGACTATTATCCTATTGATGAGAAGAACACGAGCCATTACTGTCTGGTGGATTATAAGAGCAGTAAGTTTGACTTACATTTGATCGAAATACTCTTTCTTACTCTCTTTCTGTGATAGGCAAAATCCTCAATCCCAACTGGTACATTCGCGACTTGTACTTCTTCAAGCGTTCGCAGTATCCAGAGGTTCGCCTGATGCTCATGCGTCCGGAGGAATCATTTCTGGCTCTGCAAAAACAGGAACTGACTAAGAAGTTCGTGGAGATTGGGAAAGTGCATCTGACTTGGGCTATTCTCAAGAATGTGGACATGGTGGTGCAGCGTGTTGTCTTCCTGCACGAGGAGCTGATGAAGCTGCCCTCCTTCCCACGCAAGGCACTCGAAGTGGATCTGGATCTGCACCATGGCGGCGAGTATGGCAAGGTGCTGCTCGGCCTGGATGTCTTGCACAAGTTTATGTGGGTGCGTCTGATAGCACGCATGTTCGAGGCCATGGCTGGTAACTTTGCCTACTCGGCGGACATCCAGCTCTTCCTCAACGTGCTCTCTGGCGCCTCCATCCTGCATGCCGAGGACTCATGCATAATGCGCTACGTGATGGCCACATTCATCAATGCCGCCTTCAACTTCAAAAACATATTCTCCACGAATGGCTACTTTATGATTATGCCCACACTGCTGCAGGTGTATTCCCTCCATCAAACCAACAAACTGATCACCACCACCATCGAATACGCCGTCAAACAGTTTTACCTCCTCAACCGGAAGCCTTTTATTCTGCAAATGTTTGGCTCTGTTTCCGCCATACTCGATACGGACGAGGATGGCACCTATGGAGAGGCGCACAAGGTGCAGTCCAGCTGCCTTTTCAATTTACTGCTCAGCCTGGAGGATCCCTCACCGGATCCACTCAACATTGCAGAGCTGGTGAAGGAGCAGAAACCATTGAAGGCAATTGACTTTTGCTACCACGATGAAGATGACGATGTCACGGTGCTGGACTGCATTACGCTCTGTGTGATGGTCGTCTCCTACTCGGCGGAGAGCACTCGTGGCTATCAAATGCTGGTGATTATACGCACTGACGTCTTCCATTCTTTGTATCTTTACTTTATTGTTTTTCAGATCATCCTGGAGGCCATTCTGCCCTGCTATTTGCAGCAGATTCAATCGCCCAGCTACATTCCGCTTCAGGGCAAGTCCGAACGTGACATTATACTTCAATTGGCTGTAGCCATTCGCACCATGGTGCACAATTGCGAAGGCCTGGCCAAGAGCTACAATGGACCCTATCGGAACAGTCCCGAGCACAAAGGATCTTCGCAGCGCAATTGCAGCCGCGGACCGCCCTGCTCGCCTGGTCTGGACTTTGAGGAGGAGTCGCATCCAAAGTATGTGTCAGATGCCCGAACCAAGAATATGATGGATTCTGCTGAGGACTCCGAAATGATACGCACTGAATATCGGCGACCTCGTGATGTGCTGCTCTCCGTTGTGGCGGATTTCCTCACCAAATCCACGGCACGTCTGGCCGAGCTGGCGAAGAAGATGCCTGCCGACACGAAGCCCACAGAGGTGCTGGACGCCAAGTGCCACATTCGTCTCGCAGACATCGCTCACTCGCTGCTCAAGGTATCCCCCTACGATCCAGAGTCGATGGCCTGCCGTGGACTCCAGCGTTACATGCAGGCAGTGCTGCCTCGTGCGGAATGGTCAAACGACACTCTGCGCAATGCTCTGGTCACAATACTACGACGCATCGACAAGGTATTCCTGAAGATATCGAAGAAGCCATCGATTCGGCGGAACACGGACTGGGAGGCAGCCGCCGGCCTACTGAAGGGCATTCACGAGACGATTATTCGGCACTCGTATGTGCTGCACTGGCAGCAGATGAAGACTTTGATTAGCACCGTGCAGAACCTGATTGTTAATGAGCCCGGCTCAGGCATTCCCGAGGGCGTCTCCAGTGCAGGGGCAGCGCTCATGTCTCAGAATCCGCCGGCCTTTTTCTGCTCGGCCGTGGTGCGTCTGGTGGCCCTACAGGTGGTCAGCCCCGTGGACTGCTTCTCACTGGTTCAAATATGCGGCGGCAGTGCCGAGTTTGCCACGCAGGAAAAGGCCGAAGGATTTCTGATGCATCTGATCATGCCGCTGTGTCTGAAGGTCTGTTCGGGACGCGGCGTTTCGGATGTGGGCGAGCTGAAGATGACCGATGTAACCTTCCTGCTCACCGCCGTCCTGAATGCCATGAGTCCCCCAGCGGGACGTACGGGTCAGGCTGTGTCCCAGATCAATCGAGTCACGGGTGACCTGCGTGCCGGCTCCCTAACCTTCACGGGCAGCAGGGATGCCAAGCGGCCAGCCCGCATTTCCGGCTCCCTCTATCAAGCGGCCTTCTTGGCCCTGCGCATCGTGTGCATCTGCTTCGAGAATCGCCTGTCCACGGAGTGGCCACGCATTGTGCGAGTGATGCGGGATCTGGGCAGACGAAACGAGGCTGCCCCCGATCTATGGAGCTTCATGGAGTTCGTGGTCACCCATCGCACCCCACTCTACATTGTTCTATTGCCATTTATTATGCATAAGGTAAGGAGTGAGTGCTGAGGATTGTCTGGCTTATAGCTTACCATCTCTTACCAGATCTCACAGCCTCCCATTGGCGATCACGAGCGACACATGCAGTTCATCATTAGAGAGCGATTGCGGGGAACACCTCCACAGGGCGGCATCAAGTCGAAGGGCGCCCTGCTGCTGGAGCTGGCCCGGGAGCTGCGCGATCTGCGCGACGAGCTGGAGGAGAAGCGTTATGGTAAGTCTATGTGGTGGCCGCTGACAGTTTCCACACATCCGCTTATGTTTCAGTCTCCACAGATCGCGAGAGTTCCGAGCAGAAGAAGAGCGACACGCCGGCGGCCACCAGTGCGGCAGATGCCCACAAGTCCCAGCAAAGACCTTCACTTATATCTATCTTCACAGGGACAACAACCGGCCAGGCCACACACTCGCATGTCTCCGCTGTACCCATCGATTCGCGCAGCGGCTCCGGTGGCATTTGCACCCCCAGCGACACTCTGTCACAGCAAACACTCCACCCGCCGCGAGAGTCCTTGTCCAGCAGCTCAACGGGACGAGATCCACACACCACGACAAGCGAGAGTCAGAGCGGCGATGGAGAGGCAGGATCGGCGCCCACACTGGTTGGTGCAGCACCCAGTGGTTCAGGCCATGGAACTTCCGGCACAGCATCTGCTTTACCCTCGCACATGTCGCACTCGCAGTCGCTGCAGCAGCCGACATTTAAGGCCCAGCCGCCAAAGCTGCGCTTCGTTTCGTCTGTCGAGTTTCGACACTCTTCGGGAGAGACATCGACCACACCGCTGTCACCAGAGAGTCCGGCCGAGGATAGCTCAGGAGATCACACACGTTCACGTCTGCAGCGCTCGAAGGCAGCTAGTCGCAAGACCTTCCGGCTAAAGCGCAGCCGACTGACGCCCATGGAGCCACCCAGCATTGTAAGCTAATCAAAAATCTCGAATACTAATCCGTAAGCTGACATCTAAATAATTTGACAGGTTACATCGCTGTCACAGGAGGAGCAACAGCCTCAAGCCCAGCCCAAGGCACTTGGTGAGATATCCTGGGACTCGGTCTCGCAGACATCCTCCACATCCGGCTATCGGGACAACAACAGCTTGCAGACGGGCCTGCTCTCGCCGGATGGCTCATTGGGTGGTCTCACTCTGGGCCGCTCCCCTTCGCAGCACTCACTTTTAATGGTGTTCGAGGGACAGGACGAGGACACACTTATTTAACAATCACAGAACGGCGACCGGGCCTACGAACTCTAGTGACAAGCGTGACTTTCCGAGACACAATTAGCACGAATTTGGTATAGCATAGTAGATACTCGTATAATATAATTATTTATGCATATGTGTAGGGTAGTTGGATGTTAAGTTTTATAGACGAATCGTTGTTTTCCATTTTGTGCCCCGTTTTGTACACGATCAATGATGTTAGAATGTTAATTAATAAACGCGGTAGCCGTTCTATGTATCGCCGTTCTTTTTTGTAGCCGCTGACAATGTCTTCAAGCGATTCTCCTTCACCATCTTGCGCCACTCCAGCCACTTGGCCATCTCCGGCTGATCACTGTTGCCACTCTGTGTCTCCAGTTGCATGTAGTAGGCCTCGCGCAGTATCTTAAAGGCCTGGATGCTGTAGTATGGCTGCTGTGTGACCGGATCAAAGTAGCGTGCTGGCAATCTGGTGATGGGGCAGATGCCACTAGAGGGTTTGGGCGGGGGCTTGGATCGGCAAATCGATTGGAACACCTTGTCGTTGAAGTCGTTCTCGATGGTGACGAACGTGCGCTCACACTTTGAGGCTGGATCGTTCGGATCATGCGGTAAGGTAGTGCCCCGAGTGGGCTTCCGCATCACTGGCATAGTTAGCGAATGGTAACGTATAGTTGCCCCATTGAAAATGCGCTTGGTGGGACGCGTTTTCTTTTTCTCCAATTCCATTTTTTGGAATTTCTCTGCAATTGCGAATGAGCTCTGAAATATTGCATCTTTAGCGGGTTATTTGTAGACTTACCTAGGGAGAGGATGTTCTCCTCTTCGGTTATTTTGGCCTCCTCCAGCAGTTCTTCTTGTGTGGGCATGTAATCCTCAACGCGAACCTTCTTCTTCTTGCGCTTCCGTGCATCGTCTAATTCCTTCAGGCGTTTTTTTGTTGCCTGTGTTTTGATGGCCGTAGATGTGCGTATGGACTTGCGACCCGAGTCGAGGACAGTAAAGCGCGGCCGCACTCGACGTTTGGCCACACCGCCTCCGGCGCGCTTCTTATGCAGTGCCGGGACGGACTTTGTTTCCTTTTTGGCGGCAGGTGGTGGCTCCTGTAAGGAAAGCCCCGTTAGGAACAATATATATGTATGCACTTTTCCAGTATTCTACCTTGTAAGCCTTTGTGTTGACGCCGCCGCGTTTACGCTTCTTCTCCGCGGGCTCTTCTTGGTCGGATACCGGCTCATCATGCTCATCTATACTGAAATCGGAGTCAACCACATCGTCCTCTTCGTCTTTTTGTCTGCAACAAGGATTTTTAATTACAATGTGGACCTATTACTCCCATGGGCAGCAGCCTAACTCATATTCCTGGTCTTCTCCTTCCTCCTGGAATCCACCGTAGGTAGTTTTGTAGAAATCATCCTCCTCTTCTTCATCCAGAAGAGTGGCTATGCGGTTGCCAGCATTGTTGCGCCTGGCTCGCGAGGCAGCCATTTGTTTATTTTACGAGAACACTAAATATAAATGAGAATTGGATCAAATTTGACAGACAAAAACATAAACAAAATGTGAAAGCGAATTTATCGATAATATATACCGAAATATACCTTCGAGCGTACAGAAAATACCACCGAAACTATACTGATGAAAATAATATTCCTCGATTTTAATATTGTAATTGACATATATTTTTACACGAATGATGAATCAATTTTCTACAAGATAGGATTCTGACAGGGCACTTCTTAATTTAGGTGTGTATCATCTTTGAGATATTGTATAACTAAAGCAGCCCTAAAAAAGAGCTATGAAATTAAACTCCTGTAAGACTACCGCAATATGTCGGTATTTTTTCGGTAATTCCCACTGGTGGAAAATGGGTTAAGCGTTCAGCTCGCCTAAAAACGCGCTCACCTACAAAACCAATACGTGCATAAAGTTTATTTAAATGGTCTGACTGCCTGAACTTAAGGTGTAGAGGAATAAGATCATATCGAATGTTAACTAATGTTGAAAATGTATTATCCCGAAATGAGAAAATGATAATTTGAGACACATGGGCAGCTCATCAACAAGTTGTCTATGCCCGAACCTTTATGCTGCTGCCGCCACAGTCTTGGTCGTTGGACCTGTTGTTGGATCAAATCTGATTGCACTTTGGACTTTCTCTCTGCTTTTCAACGTGAAACCGTGACAGTGTATTTACTTTTCGAAGCGAACGGTTTAAACTTTGGCACACACAACATGATCAACACGGGAAAGCTAGCTGGACGCACCCTCTTCATAACGGGAGCCTCAAGAGGAATCGGCAAGGAGATTGCGCTGAAGGCGGCCCGTGATGGTGCCAACATTGTGGTGGCGGCCAAGACAGCCGAGCCACATCCAAAGCTGCCCGGCACCATTTACTCAGCGGCCGAGGAGATCGAGAAAGCCGGCGGACGAGCCCACCCCTGCATTGTCGATGTGCGCGACGAGGTCCAGGTTCGTACCGCCATTCAGGAGGCGGTGGCCAAGTTCGGGGGCATCGACATTGTCGTCAATAATGTATGTATAGGGAAAAGGCTGCGGCAATTATCTATTCAATCAGAGGCCATAACTAACGATTTCTAATCATTTTACAGGCTAGTGCAATCTCCCTGACCAACACACCCAACACAGATATGAAGCGGTACGACCTTATGCACAACATCAACACCAGGGGAACCTTCTTGGTTTCCAAGGAGTGCCTGCCGTACTTGAAGAAGAGCAACCACGCCCACATACTCAACATCTCGCCACCGCTGAGCATGCTGCCAAAGTGGTTTGGCCCACATGTGGCCTATACGATGGCCAAGTACGGCATGTCCATGTGTGTGCTGGGAATGGCTGAGGAGCTCAAAGGTGATGGCATTGCCGTCAACGCTCTCTGGCCCCGCACTGCTATTCTGACTGCTGCCATCGAAATGCTGACTGGTGCCGAATCGGCTCAGTGGTCGCGCAAGCCCGAGATCATGGCTGATGCGGCGTATGCCATTCTGTCGAGGGAGCCCAAGCAGTTCACTGGCCAGTTCTTTGTCGATGATGAAGTGCTTGAAGCAGCCGGGATCAAGGATCTCAAGCAATACGCCTGCGTACCCGAGAATGCTGATAACCTGATGGTTGACTTCTTTGTGGAGGCCAAGGGAGCGACAGCCCCGACAGCAGCTCCTGCTGGAGCTGGTGCATCCACTCCCACTACAGGAAGTGATAACGGCAAAATACCGCAACTCTTCCAGAAGATTGAATCTCTTCTATCCCCCGAGATTGTCTCCAAGACGCAGGCCGTCTTCCAGTTCAACATTAGCGGTGCTGAGGAGGGTATCTGGTACTTGGACTTGAAAAATGGCACTGGCTCCTGCGGCTCCGGCACGCCTCCAACCACTCCCGACTCCACCCTTACGATGAACTCGAACAACTTCTTCGATATGTTTTCGGGGAAATTGAAGGCGGCACCAGCCTACATGACCGGCAAGCTAAAGATTAGCGGAGATTTCCAGAAGGCTCTCAAGTTGGAGAAACTCATGAAGGCGCTCAAGTCAAAGTTGTAGGAGTTTCGATTGCATTTCAATATCTCCTATTTCTTACTCACAATTATATCTGACATCCCGCATGCAATAAAGTCTGAATTCTATAAGCTATGGTCTTTCAGTGATGTCCTTTGCATTGAGATTTGAAATTTGAAACACGACTGTTGCTAGGCTGCTGCCTTGTTTTTAAGAGGCCTTAAGTCTATTTAACCCATTGAACTAGTGTGAATTTAAACATTTAACGAATATCATGAAATTTGATATTTCTTTTCCCAATTTAAATTAATTTAACCCATTTTTTCTGTTTTTTAAGTAATTTATAAGCGGTATCCACATTGAGCAATTACAAAAAGTTTTATTTTCACCGGCTTAACTCAAGGTGTTCACCTGTTTTAAAGTAGGGGGCTTAAGTGGGTTAATATATACACTCCCATATGTTATGCCTCTTCTTACGATTCATTTGCTATATAGGCTCATCTCCCATTCCTTACCGGTACAAATACAATTAATATTTCGCCATGGCGACTTCTTCCTACAAGGTACGTATATATTATTAGTTGCCATTAAAAGACAGAAAGCTCACTATTTGTGATTAATCGTGTCAAAACAAACAGGAAAAGGTCGTAAAAATGATCAAGTGCTTCTGCGGATGCAGTGACATGACCGTCGAGGAAGTGCAGCGCATCTACACGCTGACAAACAGTGTCCACGAAACACTGCTAGATGCCGAGGCCACAAAGCTGCTGCGCCGCTTCATGGAGCTGAGACGGTCCGGCGACAAAAACGAGGCTGAACAGTATTTGGAAATATACGAAAAGTGTGCGGAATTTCTGCAGGAGGCGCAAAAAACTTTTACCCAGGATGAAGTGGACGAACTCTGTGATCTGGGGCTTCCCCGCGACTTGGAGCAGGACCTGTCCAAACGCATGCTCAGCGGTCAACGTACAGACATAAGTCTCGGCCTTTATCGTATACAGAGCAAATGCCGCAACGAGATTGAGGCCAGCGGCGACTTCCGAGAATTCCGCGACGCCATACGGGACAAGCTGCGCCGAATCCCAAAATGATATATCTGGGAAATCCCCAAGCAACAGTTGGTGCTCTTTGTGTTCATGCTACTATATACACATACCAAAGTCAAGATGGTACCTTCTATAACCGCACTAAACCTCGTCGTCTTTGAACTTAGCAGTGCCTTTATGCCCTCCACATTCTTCACACTAATCTTAAGTCCCACATCTATAGTCTCCGTGCAACGAACCGAATCGAATTCCACGTCAGCGATAAGAATAACCAATGCAATTGTGACTTGATGAAGTGCTAGCTAAAACATTAATTCACATCACAAATGCAACAACGAACAGATCACTCTTTGACTTATGAGTAAATGTATTTTTATTTAGTTATTATTTTTATGTTAATGTTTTATGTTTCCTGTTAAGCACTATGGCTACAAAACTGTTTATTTCCAATTTAGAAATAAACCACTTAATGCTAAAGTTATATTAGAGTATTCCCTCTTAGGTTTTCTTCCATGAGTAATACATTTCCATGGGCTTGTTGACCTGAAATTTAGGACGAAGAAGGAAGTAGATTAGCAAGGTTCATCCGTTGGGTTGATTGTTTACTTACCTTCCAGAACTTATCGTTGACCTGGTGCAACGTCTGGTTCCCGTTCAAAATTACTAACTGCTGTGGCTGGGGAGCGACATAGATGCAAAAGTTGAGCAGGCGGCACGCTTCCGGCAGATCGGCGCCCAGGTCAAGGGTGAGGCGCATGGCCAGATACTTGCTGAGATGATCCACAGTCGCATTGGCTGTGGTCTTGATGTACCGCACGCAGTTTTCCTTGAGCGCCCTAATCAGTTGGTTATCTGCAGACATCTCTGTGGGATGCGGCTTGAAGACCAGTTCGATTTCATCATTGATGCCCAGCTCGCCGGTGCCCTCGCCCTCCGTGTCGATGGAATCGCCCTCTGTGCGACAATCCATCTGAGAGTCCGACTCGGACTCTTCGGACCGCTCCGAGGTCAGCACCGACATGGCCCGCTTAGGCTTGGAACTGCTCGAATTTGATGGAACTGGCGATGGTGTGCTCCGCACCGAGGGAGGATTCGAGCCATCTTCAACCTGCATGCGGGTCGCCGATGTGCTGGCTCCAGTAGGGGCCGGTGTCGTGACTGACGCCACAGTCGAGGTGCTGGTATTATTGGCCGATGTTACCGAAGTTGCAGACTGTCCGGGATCTCGATTATCGCGGTCGGTGCTGTTCGTGTTGCTGTTGCTATCATTGGACGCTGTATCGTGGACATTTAATTGATTAGAGGCATTGCGACCAACGCCAGACCCAACAGCGTTACCCCCAACACCGCTGGCACCACCACCACCAACAGTACCACCATTACCATTACCATTGCCACCTCCTCCTCCTCCACCGGCTCCTCCGCTGCCCTTGGTGCGGAAGCGCTGTGGTCGATTTTGAGACTGCAGCTTGATGCCCTCGTTAATGGAGTTGACCAAGGCCTGCTGGGACTGTGTTTGATTGAACTTCGCCATCACTTTCTCCTGAATGGCCTCGTACTCCTCACGACTGGGATAGATCTTCGAGATGAGCAAATCAAAGTTTGGATCGGCCCGCAAGGAGCGCTTGGAGACGAGCTTCTTCCGGCATGTTGGGCACTCCTTGTTTCCAGACCGCAGTGCAGTCACAATGCAGTCCGAGCAGAAGCGGTGCAAGCACTCCTTAGTAGTCATTGTCTTCTTCAGCATGTCCAAACAAATGGGGCACATTAGCTCGCTGTGCAGACTCCGGGGGGAAACTGCAATCTCCGTGCTGTCTGTGATTATGTCCTGCGGCTTGCGCTGCAGCTCGTAAAGGGACAGTTCCCATGTCTTGTTTGGCGCCGGATCCAACGATGTCATTTTTACACCAATTATGAGGCTTTTTCAATTATATTTTCTTTTTTCCAGATATTTTCGCTTCGTTTTTCTTTTTTGTAACTTTTACTAGGGTTGTCAAATATATTAATATATCGATATTTTTTAAAGTACAAATATATTTATATCGTGATATCATATTTGCGAAAATATCAATATGTTGATACTTTTTAGTGATATTTTTTGACATTTTATGTTCGGTAACTGTAACGGTTTCTGTTTTCTTTATGGGAACTATTTATTTGCGCTCGGTACATTTGCATTTTGATATAATGATATCTACCTTATCATTTTGAAAAAAAATATATCACAGATATGATATTTTTTAAATAGTTGACATCCCTAATTGCTGCAGCAGTGTGACCGTGGAAGTATCGATATAATTTACCGGCCGTTCTTAAAAAATATACCGAAATATGTCTTCACATTTTAAAAATATACCGTAAATAACTCAATTCTTAAAAGTTATTCCTCGATGTTATTTTTGAAATTACTAGATGGAAAACAATATGAACACTGAAAAAATAATCTAGTCCGTATGAAGAATAAAATTGGCTTATTTTAAATACTCCTTTTTTATTGGAATGTATACCTTATGACCTTATATTTTACAATTTGGGTACAATATTGGTTAAATTTCATCACTTGCCCTTATTGGGATGATTTTAAAGTAAGGTTAAAGTAATATTACCATCTGATATTACCGTCTTAGCTTTAAAACTGTAGTTTTACTCGAATCATAATTCAATTCTCCAAAATATTGAGTACATTTCATCATTACATTGGATTGATTTTAAGGTAAGGTTAAAACACTTACATACATTCTCAAATATCGGTATCGGTATTCATGGATGATTTGGCGTCTAGATGTCTCTGTTGATATTTAGTGTCCCAAGACATAGAGGGAGCCACTAAAATTAGAAATTCGCAAACTTGAAAACTATTGTGACAATATTGGAGAACATAACCTCTACGCCAGGTAAGGATTGGAGCAAAGCTGTAACAAGTTACATATTTCGACGTGGCGATTTCCCCCTTGTAAAGGCGGGTGGCCAAATAATTCCCCCCTACCCAATGGTAGAGCGGTAACTTAAAACCTCAAAAAAAAAAAAATATAGTGACAATATTAAATATACTTAATATTACGCCTCCTGCCTCCACAATCTTTCTCTCAAAACAGGGAGAACATGTTTCAAACATTTAAAGTATTTTTCTTATTGAATCCCCTGATCTTGATCGGGTTTTCGCAACACATGAGGCTCCACTGTTTGGCATTAGTCTGCCAAATCCTTTTCGGTTGACAATACGTCAACACCTCAATTTCCACGAGATTTCTTGCGGCTGTCAATCACGTTAACTGGATGAGGAGGGGGATGAGGGGACGGAGACTGAGACACTTACCAGAACCCGCCAAATATGGCTTAAATGCAGAATTGCCGTTACCTAAATTGCAGTCGCCCGTCACCAGGAATTCACCAGTTGTTTGGTGTCTTGGTGTCTTGGTGGCTGTGTGTGGGGCCGAGAATGCATCAAGTCGAGTTGACTGTTAATTGAATTAGAGACTCGCCGCCGTCGCCGTAGCCGCTGCAGCCGAGCCGCCATGCGAAATTGACAACCGCATGGCTGTTGAGGTCTGCATGCGATGACAATGACCCTCGAGCGGTAGCCTGTAGCCGGGTAGTCCATTAGTTTTTGAATCGCGTGCTCCAGAGCTCAAACCTCGAGACTCGATTTTCCCAGCCAAAGGTTTTTCCTGGCTTTGCATGGCGATGCCAGTTCGTCACTCAAGCGCGATTACCGCCGCGTCCCACTCACCTGCCTGTCACATTGGTTGCGCATGCGCGTTCGCCCATCGAGTGACGTGGCACTAACAGAGACCTTAGGAAAAGGCCGCCGACTGCCGACAGAGTAAGCGGTGAAATTGCTGGACGGACCTGCCTGGCATGACTACAATTTGTCATATCACACGGGGTGTGCTGCAGTTTCAGGAGCAAGGAGCTATTTGAAGGCGTCGCCACTTTCAAATTCCTCATTAGATCGGGCGGTGCGGCTAATTATCGTGGGGCCCGTGGAGGTGTGCCCCGATTTTCGCTCACCACCAAATTACTGCCTCATGGCAGCAGCAGCCTCATAATTGCAGCCTCTACGGAGTCTGGTCTGGCCTAGGCAATTTTCAACTTATCGAGGTTATCCTCCGCTGCACAGTTGATCACTTGACCAGACCAACAGCACCAGTTGAACTTCTGCTCCCACACGACGTTAGCGGATCATAGATGCGGCCCATGGCAGTTGCTGTTTCCATAGATGCTGCTGCTGCTGCTGTCCTCAATTCTATTCGGTTGGGGGTACGTGCAGGTTCACGACCCACATAGCCCCTCCTCTGTGGCTCTCTCTCTCTCTCTCTCTCTCTCTCTCCATGTCTCCTTTCAAGCTTTCTTCAATGATTTCAGCATTTTGCAGGCACTTGCCGGCATCTATTGACATTAATCATTGGCAGACTCTTGTAAAAATTTGCAAGTACAAGTCAGGTACTTCTGGGAAATGATTGGCTTTCGACATGCTTTTTTATGGCAGCTTTATGAACAGTCGTCGTCGTCTGGCAGCCAAAACGAAATTCTCTTTATTCGATTTTCCATCGCGCGTGCTGTGGAGCGGAGTGGGGTAGAGGGATGACTGCTGGGGGACTGCTCTTTTTTCGTGTGTGTGTTCCAGCATCCCAACTCAATCATTTGGCGCTAGACCGGAAGGAAGCAAACGCCATTTTGCTGTTGCTTTTGTTGTCTGCGCCATTTTAGTTGAGGTTTTCTGTTCTTCTCTTTTTAAAAGTCTGCACATTGTCAGCGATTGTCCCAGGAGTTCAAGTGAAAGTTTAGCAATGAAGCACTCCACCATTATATATGTAGAACGAAGCTAAAGCGTAACTCTAACGTTGCCTAATTGGGCTTAACGACCTGAACATAAAGGGGGCGTGTACTTGGAAGTGGGCCTGGGACTAAGATTGGGATTGGGATTCGGATTGGCATGGGGTTGGCTCTCCGGGCACTTAAAGCAGTAAGCATGCCAGATTGCAGCCCCAGCACCAGCCCCTTTGCCCTGCCCCAAATTGCTGTATGAGTAGACTGCAACATGCCACTTAGCCTCCAACTCAAAATCGTAGTCCAAAATCAATGAAACTGAACGGTAACCGAACGGGGTACGCGCTTTTTGGGGTTAGAGCGCAACGGACATTCCAGGCCATGGAACAGACAGTTAGAATGTCACCCACACACACATGCACAGAGGAAGAGGCAAACTCACAGGCACATATACTCGCACATCAACTGCAATTGCAATCTGTTAACTTGTCCAACAACAGCAGCAGCTCAGCCACTGCCACTGCCACTGCCACTGCCACTCATAGCCAACAATTGACAATAACAAGCAGGCGGCGTCCGCCCAATTTTCAACCCAAACCAAGCCGTTGGCCAACTCTTTGTACGCCTGCAGCTGAAGTGCCTGGCCACCGCAAAGCAACAGCAACATTGACGATAACAAGAGCGAAAGGATAGCTCTGTGGGCCGAAGCATTAGATACCCTTGAAGGATGCAGAATGGCTGAGGGAACGGGTGCTCGAGTAGCAACGAGAGAAAGTATGCTGGAATCTAAATTGGTTGCTATCTGCATGACAGACTCACAGTCAGTTGCACAGTCCATACCATCCGTTTTATAGGGTATTCCCAACACAGTAACAACAACAGCAGCAACACAATTGGAGTTCTTCAATTGCCCACTGTCCAAATATTGCCAGAACACAGGAACGTTGCGCATTGTTTGCTCGTTATTATGGACGTGGCTGTTGATGTGAGCCTGGGAGCGGGCACTGAAGTTGGGAGTGGGTATGGGAAACCTGGATGAGGACCACAAATCTTTTGTCTTTGCAAAAAAACTCTCGTACCATAAATAAATCTCAATTAAACTGCAACCCCTTTTTTCGAGGGAGGCGTTTCCCATGGCCAGGATAACAATCAATCAGCTAACAAGTGACTGTCGAGGCTACTCCTGCGGATTCCGTGTCTCTGGGTTGCCCGTTCCCCTACCACCCCATCCGCGATGCCCCTGTCAAAGATGTCTCTGGCAGTCACACCCCGAATTTTCCCGACTTTTCTATGCCACGCCATGCGGCACTTGCATGTTTATTATTTGGTTTGGCTTTAGAAGCCGGCCCCGATCCCGACTCAGCGGAATGGGATATAGAGGGGAGCAGAGAGGGTCTGGGCCAGGCCAAGTCGCGACGACGTCACAGTCGTTAAGCGTGACTTTTGTTGCTGTTGTTGTTGTTTGTGGTATGCAAAATACCGACGGCGGGAGAACGGAACGGGAACGGGAACGGGAACGTAAACAAAAAGCCGAACTCTGCTCAAGACCAAGTCGAAGTCAAAGTCGCAGTCGAAGCCACTCCACGAACCCAAAGGTAAAGAAGAAAGAAAATGCCATAAAGGTGCCATGGACATAACGACTAATAAGTGCCCTTTAAATACGCGAAACGATGAAGAAGTTTTAGGAAGCCAAACTTGGATATTAGAAGGTGGGTTATGGGCTCTACACATTATAATTGTTTGTTAATTAAGACTAACTAAGGTTGGAATTTACAGGGATAAACATTTTTGCGTTGTAACTTTCGACTGATTTGAATAATAAATAAAATATGTGTATAATATCAATGAAGAATATGTTGAAAAGTTTATTTAAAACTTTTGATTTGAAGATTTGATTACCCAAAAGAGACAACAAATTAATAAAACATTTTTCTTGATAAATTCTAATTCTTTTTTTAAAGTTTACACTTACACAAAACACTTTTAAATTGAATTTTAATTTTAATTCAAAGAAATACTATTCAGTGGATATTCAGCTGAGAAAGCGTCGCCCACAATTGGTTTAACCAAACAAGTTTAGTCACTGCCACAAGCCAAGAGACGCCACGAGCCGCCACAAGCCACCACAAAGCTGAAATACCCAACTTTATCCAGGGAGCAGAGGTGGCTTCGGCAACGTTGGCCGGCCTCGTCCATTCAGTCTTTTGCGAGATTTTATCGTGTGCGGACGTGTCTGCGGGTTTATTTGCGAACTCTTTGGCCATACATCATACGGGTCCCGGTCCTGTCCTGGATTCCACATCCCGAAGCTGCAGTCGTTACTCACGCGATTCACATAGATGCATTGGCCAGCCGTTTGGCGCCACAGCCCCCACCACACACAGTTCGGGAGTCGTCTCTGAGTTAACTTGCAAACAGAACAAAAAGTGCCAAAACAAACAAACACACAAAAAAACTAAAGAAGAAGTAAAACGCGAGAGATTTGAGTGCAACAATGGGGAGGACGACATATGCGGCGGGATGGCTGCTCGGGTAAGTCTCGGATGTCAGGAGTGGGGTCCGGCAGTTTCCTTTTTAGTTTTAAAGAAACTTCCACCAGCCACGCCGCTTCTTCTCGGTCTGGGTGAATGCGTCGACCTTCGTCGTCTCGAGCTCCTTCAAGTCATCGGTCTGTGTGCTGGAGTTAGGGCAGAGAGCAAATCCATGGATTAGTGTGTGTTCGGCTGTGTCGCCTCTGAGTCACCTACTCGATGGTCATCCAATGCCGCGGCATGTTGCAGTGTAGCCTCTTCGTATAGCCACGCTTCCTGCCAGAGGCACACCTAAGAGCAAAATGGGAGTTCGGTTGATTGCAGCAACTTTTATGGTTATGATTATTGAATGAGCAGCGTTGGGGAGCTTAAAATCAAGTGTAAACAGTCGTTAAATACCTTTTCGATTTTCTTTTGGCCTTCGTCTTTTCCGCCTTTTCCTGGCGATGCTCCTCCTGCAGGGTAAGTGCATCTCCGATCTGTTCGCCCGCTGCCGCCTTGGGTGTGTTCCGTGCCTCTATTAACGCCTCTCCGGGCCGATCGGCTGCTAATCGTAATGCCATCCACTCCACTAGCATGATCTCCACCAGCTTATTGATGCTCTGGATCAGCTTGTTTTCGATGAGATCTCTGAGGCATTGAAAGTGCTTCTGGATTATGTTCAAGGCATCCAGCTGCAACACTTCATTTTCCTCGGTCTGGGTGTGCAGGGTTTCCCTGTCATCCGTGGTCTGCACTGCCACACAATCGGTTCCCCGCACTGTCTGCCTGCCCGTAGAGCAGATGTCAATGGTTGTCTGACTGCCTTTGTTCCCTGTGCTGGTCATCACTTGCGTGGATCGGTTATGGCAAATGGCAGACTCTCCCTGACTGCCAATGGACTTGCGCTTGGGATTTAGTGTCTGCTGATGCCTGGAGTAGCTCAGAGTGAGATCCATCGTGTCCACATCCACAGTTCTGTTCTCCCTTCGACGCGGAGATGTTTGGCTGGCCTTGGCCATCTGCATCCTTGGCGACTCTGGGCTTTGGCTGGCTTTGGTGTCTTGGTATATTATTGGGTCAGAGGTTTGACTGCCAGTGTTATCCAGAAGCGTTCCAAGAGTTTGCCTGGACTTGCTGTCTTGACTCAACACAGACTCTGGGGTTTGGCTGCCTTTGGACTTCTTGATTGTCCTAGACCCAACCGTTTGTGTGCCGCTACTCACCAGGGTCAACTTTTGTGGTTTCTTCAGCTTCTTCATACGCCGCAGACGCTTTGCAATGCGACTCTTCCTGCTGAGAGTGCAACGCCGCCTTCGTAGGTGTAAAATTGTGAGCAAACCATTCAACAGTGCATAATGTACAGCATATCTGAGAGGGAGGGGAAGAGGTGCTTATTAACAGCAGTGTAAAATGATGCTCCCACCCCTCACTCACCTCACTTTGCCGCACTGCAGCCGCCACTGGCCACGATGACTGCCGCGTGGACCCTCAGCCATGGACCTTGCCACCAGCTTCTGCAGATCAATTTTTAGATTCAAATTGCCTCCCATGGTATCGCTTTGGTGTCGTCTAAAACTTGGCAATTTTGACAACAACAAAAAGAGGTACAAATAATAAAATAATATTAGGGTCTTGGCGGATTTATTCCAGTTATAAATACAAGTGTGGTGGGGCTATAATGATATGTGGATGGATGAATTCAGGGAATTCTAACAAACAACCTACTGGGTATCGAATTTTCACACGAAACCCTTTTGTGATGTTTTGAAATTTGTCTTTAAATATCCAACACGCAATCTGTGCATCGTTTTCCCCGCCCAATCCCCACCATGTCTGCCCTTGCCATGGTCGGTATGAGCCATGCTGTTCCTGCTGTTTTTGTGTGTGTGTAGTATGGCTTGCGGGCTCCTTTGTGCTTGGCGATTCATTAATAATTCAAAAATGCCGCATATGTTGCACCCTGGATGGGTACGGATGGAGGCAGGACAACAGCAGAAGCGACAGCAGCAGCAGCAGCAACAAAAATGCATTCACTTATTCTGCAATTTATCAATTCGAAGTTAACATGAAAATGGCCACAAAAACCACAACACAGACACACAGAGGATACAAAGGCCATGTGGCAGGAGTCTCAGTAGGAGTTTGAGTCCCTGCCTCGGGTGTTTTCGGAGTTGGAGTTGGAGCTGGGTCTGGGTCTGGGTCTGGGTCTGGGGATGCATCTCGGACTGGGCACTGCTAAATACGTGTTGATTTGAGCGCCTTTCGATTGGATTTGTGCAATCCACGCACTAAACATACAAAACATCGATTGGTGGAGGCGCATCTGCATGGCATGGCAAGGCCCAACCCGTACCGACCCGACCATCCATCAGTGTGTCTCTAATCCCGCCCAGAGGCATGGCTTCCTTTGTGTGTGTGCCTCGGAATTTATGCAGCTTCTCCTTCTAAGGCTCCTCTTTGCATGCATTATGCGGAGTGGAGGCTCAGTTCAGAATGCTATGCACGTCTTGTGGCCTTCGGTTACATTTATTGCATAAAACCTGGCCAATTTCCATTATAATTTGTGTCGACCAGAGACCGCCAAGAGGCCTATTGTAGATAGCCCTAAAAAAACTAGCAGAACCCCCAGCCCCAGCTGCTTAGTCGGTCAATAACATTTCACTTGACAAAGTAGCCAATGAGCAGAAATCTTTGTCTCCCTCTGCTAAGAGGCGCTCTCGGGGGTTCTATGGGAACAGAACAGTTGGCCTAAGTCTCGCCATGCCATGGAGTGCTGTTAGGCGTACACTGAGACAAATATGTACACTGAGAATAAATTTATACACGGAATAACACGGCATATTTCGAGACTCTTTCTTATGGATATATCTGCTTCTGTTTTGCAATGTACTCTTAAATGTACCTATATTTTAGGGGCTCTTTTTAGGCTACAGTCCAGGAGTTTCTCCCAGTGCATTAAACTATGATATACTATCCCACCCAAGCAAGCCCTCGCCGCGTATCAGTGATTGGAACACCCTGGGAGATGGTTAGGAACTTGGAATTTCATCTAATGCTCTCACGCCTTCATGGGTTTCCCATTTCTCAGCCCAGCTACAGCCCCAACCGCAGTGCATTTTTCTTTAGTCTATGATCGCCTTTCCCTCTTCCTCCCTCCCTCTCTCTCTCTCTCTCTCTCTCTCTTGCTGTCTTGTTTCCTGCTCGCTCACTCGTGTGCTGTAATTGTACGTGCTTATTTGCATTTTTATCTGCTTTGTTGTTCGCTTTCTTCCGTGCTGCTGGTATCATTACTTGACACTGACACAAGAGCAAACAGAACGGCAGAGAGAGAGAGAGAGAGAGAGAGAGAGAGGAGTGGACTCTGTCCATGCGTCCGAAGGTGTAAAATTTCAAAGAGGGCGGACCCCTCACTATTTAAAGTCATCTCTTGGGTTACACTTTACCCCTCGACAACTAAAATAAGAACTAAAATAATAAAAATAAAATAAGGGCACATAATGAAGACCTGAAAGCCTGCCGCCATTTGCCGACTGATTGACCCTGAACCCTGGTTAAGGAGCAAGGAGCTGGGAGTTGGGAGCCAGTAGCTGCAGGTACATGGGGTGCCTGGTGCCATGGTCAGCAGGGTCCAATCAAAACCGCATGGAGCCTAATCCCCTCTAGAATTTCGCACATAAAACACAACAACAACAACAAATAATGCCAGCGTATAAAACGAAAACCATAAAAGCAATTTCATATCATTTCGCATCTGTTCTTTTCTGTTCAGATTCTGGTGTCTCGTTTGTCTAGCTGCCGCGGCTCAGGGCAGCAGCAGCAGTAGTAGTAGTCGTTCGGTGGGAGCATCTGCCACACTGCTGGCACACAAGGATGTGGCACACATGCACAAGCTCAAGAGGCAGCAGGACAAACACCAGCAGACGCTGCAACTGCAACTGCAGCAAGGAGTGACTGGAGTGGCAGGCACCAAGCAGCAGCCGAAGAAGCAGCTGTCCAGAAGCGCACATGGCCTGAACAAGAAGCTCCTAGGGTGAGTAGAGCGGAGGGGTGTGATGTGGCGGTGCACGCCTCTTATTTTGGGCTTAATTAAGGCACTGTTTGTGCCCCCAACACTAGAGCCATAAATAACATAATGAAATATTCATGGAAAACTCCCCACCCTCTGCATTTCTCCTTCTCTTTTTGCACATTGTTGCAGCCAAATGGGCTTTATGAAGGTGAAGGCTCCCAACAGCCACAACCGGAAACGTTTGGCCGTTGAGTCACGACGCCATGCCTCGCGCGATGACTCACACATGTTCATCATCAAATTGCCGCCAAATATGCACTACTATGCAGGACCCAATGCCAATGCCGTACAGAATGCAGCACCAGAAATGGCCAGCAGCAGCCAAAAAGGCAACGCACCCAGCAAGATGGAAGCGACAGCAGCAGCAGCAGCAGCCTCGAGAAGATCAGCCACACAAGCAACCGCAGCAGCAGCAGCAGCAGCAGCAGCAACCGCAACGGAGGCGTCGGCGTTGAAAGCTAACGGGAAAAAGGTAAACGGGATTCCATTAGGTTACACCATAGACACACACAATGCCAGCAATGCACTCGCACTTGCGTCTCCCCCCTGGCCAGAACTGGCTCGATGTATGGGGTTTGGTTTGCTTTGCTGTGGCTTGGGGGTTTCTGGGTTCTGACTCTGGTTCTGGGCAACTGGTGATAAACATCGGCCGCGCATGCGCATAAAACAAATTGCAAAAGCGAGACAGAGAGAAGCCAAAGAAGATGTCGAAAGAGAGAAGCAGAAAATGGATTACCCATTTGGGCCGATGGCAACAGAGCGACATGGGAGACGACCGTTGCTGCGGCAGTCATGGTAGTCACCCATATAGACGGGGAAATACTTGCAAGTAAAACCAAGTCTAAAGTTGGACTTCAGCTGCTGAGCTGCCGAGCTGCTGATGATGTGCGACCGACATAGGACAAGCTACAACTGCAACTTGCAAGTTCCACATCATTTTGTTTTGTTTTTGTATTCCCAAAATGGGTATCTTGGGCAGGCCTATAAATAGCATTGGGGGCAGAGGGTTCTGCCCCCTGTCAGCTGTCAGCCCAGGTATCCCCCAGTCGAGCAAGTGCGTGGCAAGCAACGCTGGCAAGTTGCAACATTCCCAGTTGTAATACATTGCCTTTGGGTTGTTGCTGTGTGCTCAGAATTAATGCGGCAAGTGTCAATGTCAATGGATGTGGGACAGGACAGAGAACAGGCATCAGAATCCAGCCAGTGCAGTGGCACGAATATTATTACGCTCTCACGACCCTCCTGGCTCCTTGGAGGGATGCCACATGAACCAGAAATTAATATGCAAGCCATTAACCAACTCCGAGCCTCAATTAAAAATGCAATTTGTTAGAGTCAGTCCCACCAGCCACTAGCCACTGATCATCAATGTGGAGACTAATATAGACGCCAGGCAGCACCGGCCGCAGTCCGTGTCCAGAGCTGATTTATGGGATGACAGTCTCCATCCAGTCCAGTCCACGAGTAATGTTGTCTAATCAGAGTGCGTTTTTCAATTGCAGGTCTCATTTCCCTTCAGCTCGAACGGTCGGCCGGGTCGCATCTACCACTGGAACCTGCCGGTGCTGAAGCAGGCGCTGCAGAAGAAGCCTCACTTTGCCCACGTCTCGGCGTCGGACCGTAACCGGCTGCTGGACATCGAGAAGATACCCACCTGGCGCAAGCCCTGGGAAAATGAGACCATCGAGAAATCTATCACCACCAGCAGCGGCAAGTCCAAGTACAAGAAGTCCCTCAAGCCCAAGTCGCCCACATACTACGCGCCCTCGCAGGCGGTCAGCAAGCAGAGTTTCCACAAGTACTTTGCCGGCAATGGCAAGCCCAAGGGTTTCTATGTCATCAAGGAGCACCAGAGCAAGCCGCAGTTCTATCACAACATCATATCATAATCTAATCAGCATAGCCCATAGGCGGATCTATTCCTATTCCATAACACAACTTCTACTTCTACTTTAGAACACTTCCGTCCAGTTTCGACTCGGATTGCACATGTCGCAATCCCTGCATACATAATACTCGACCGCACTTACTGTCCAACAGTTGGGTGTGTGTGAAATCTATTTTTATAAACGCAAAGAATACAATAACAGCCACGGAATGGCCCATGGTTCCTCTCTGCATCGCCACATTTATCCGTGGAGGAGGGAGGAGAACGGGGACCATTTCGAACTGCATTTTAGCCTAAGCAACTGCGGAAAGCAATAAATTATGGCAAAAACAACAAATATCAACGCTAGGTTTAAGTGCATGTACGATTTTGTTTTGGATAAATAAATATTGACTGATTTTTAAATGCATTAAAGACGTTCTTACTGCTTCTTCTCCTCCACTCCACTCCACTCCTAAACGAAGTCAGACAAAGAAGCGACAAAGAGGCGGTTCTGTCTGCTGTCTGCTGTCTGGTCTCTTGGCTCTGTTTTCTGCTTCAGTTTGTTGACTTTGACTAAGGTAAAAGTGAGCCAAGAAGGTGGGGCAAGTGTCTGGCAAATTATTTGGCGACTGCGAAGAACGAACGAAACAGCTCTTGAGCAGTCAGTCGTCTGAAAATGTTCGGCTAATTATTTAAGCCATAAGCCAGGTCGCTCTACTATGAGAAAGATC